GCCGATATGGGGTTTGTGGAGTCTACTTTGTAAAATTTGTGAGATTTTTGGAAAACAAGAAATGTTGTTTTTTTTTTTCGAGAAAAAAAAGGAATCTAGTAGGCCGCTGGCGTAAAATTTGACGGAAGCCGATAATTTAGTGAAAAATCCAAAATTGTATCAAAAATTAGAGATTTTAATTAAAAAAAAAACTTAATTGTGTATTTAATTTTGGGACATTTGTATACAGGGTGTCAGTTATTATAAGAGATACGAGGTCGGTTAAATTAGGGCAAAGTTGCGCATTTTTATGCTGAACAATAATCTGAAAGAAAATTTAATGTGTCATTTTTAGTTTTTGAATTATTGGAAAAAACGGAAATTTTGGTTTTTATTTTTTTTAAGCGAAAACTAAAAGACCTAGATGTTTTTAACCAGAACGTTCTTATAGCACTTTTTACAAGGAATCTCAATCTGTCATCGTATTTTCCAAGGCGCTCTTGATATCAGAGTTACAACACCCAACTTTGGATTTTCTTATAGACGCCATATTTGATTTCTGTATTTTAAATTAAGAAAAAGCGTTTTTGAGAAAAAAAATTTAATTAACAAACTAGATTTTAACACAAAGTTATAAAAGATGCTCGGATGCACCACCTTCAAAATTTAATTTGTTAATTAAAATTGTCGTTTTTTCCAAAAAACGCTTTTCCTTAATTTTAAATACCATGTAAAATTTGATCATATCGTGTGATACATCGTTGTAATCAGAAACAAAAAAACTTTTCAAAAATAGAGAATTCGAATATGGCGTCCATAAGAAAATCCAAACTTGAGTCTTGTAACTCTGACATCAAGAGTGCCTTGGAAATTAGAATGACAGATTTAGATTCCTTGCAAAAAAGTGCCTAGTTAAAAACGTCTAGGTTTTTTAGTTTTCACTTAAAAAAATGAAAACGAAAATTACAAATGTCCGTGTTTCTCCAATAATTCAAAAATTAAAAATGACTCATTAAATTTTCTTTTATATTATTGTTCAGCACAAAAATGCGCAACTTTGCTCTAATTTAACCGACCTCGTATCTATTATAATAACTGAGATCCCATGGTGGAGCTCGAAAAACAAACACCCTGTATAAATAAAAATATTTTTGGAATGAGCCTCATTGTCAATCCTACCGTCAAAAAAAAATTCAACTCGATAGCTTGTATAGAAAAAAAGTTATAGAGCTTGCACCCATTTTTGGTTCACCCTGTATAAAAATAGAAAACCATGTGGGAAAATCAACTACAATAGAAAAACAAACACGTAGAGATGTTATCACGAGTGGTGCTTTCAGAAATTTTAGTATGAACGAAAATCAAATTCTGAATCATCCCTGTTTGTTATTTCTACCCCTAAGTCAACCCCTGTTAAGGGAAATAATGAATCTACCCATTACTACTAAAATATGCACTAATCGTTATACAATACTGATTTCTGTGGTTTTATTACACTTTTATTTCTCTTTATGTGTTGGTACCACTGTTGGCATAAAATATGACAGTAATTTAATACTCGTGTAAACCTGGCTTTGAATTACAAAAACAATAATATATTTCGTGTCTGTGTATCAGTGGCGACGAAAAAATTGACAATGTGTTGAAAAAAAATCCTCAATTTTTTCTTTAGCATGTACAAGGCTGTTATAAATGATTGTAGCATAATAAAAAAAAATGTCGCTTGTTAGTTTTTTGGAGTGAATTTTTGATTAACCAACCCAACCCATGGGTCCAGTTCTCGTTTCCCCATTTCCGTAAACAAATAAGGCAAGGACCGTGTCGAAAATCCCACAAGCCCCCATTTCTGCCCACCACAAATTCGGACCCATCCTCCATGGATTATCAAATTACAATTAACTCGGTAACCCATGTGTGCGTTTTTGGGTCACACCCATGTCCATCGAGTGAGACAGATGGACGTGAAAGTGTGTTATCTAAGCGAGAAAGGAAGTGGCAACAAAATTTCATCCTTATTTGGAAATATCTATTCGCTTCAGAGACCATGTGTTGATAATATGGGTGGCTCTGCTTGAAATCTGAACTGGAGAATATCGTCATTGTTATTCCTTCCGTCGCTTCTCTCTTGTTTATCTCACACAACAGCACGACTTAAATAACAATTTTTTCTCCAACTACCCGACGTCTGGACGCTGATCAATACTACAATCTAAATTTAAGTCGTCTAGCGTGCGTCTAGGCCAAGTTCAAAGCACTCGCGGAATTCGGGGAAAAACTCCGGGAAAATTGACACCGGAAAATAAAATAAAAATACATGAATTGTTTATACAGCGTGTTTCAAAATGATTGTCATCTACATGTAAATTATTCAGTGCCGCTCTACTCTTTTTTTTTTTTTGAACTAGATAGTTCTGTCAACAGTGACAACTGTCAATATTGAGGTTTATTTGTTTTTTACATAGATGACTAGATGAAAATAATTTTGAAACACGTTGTACCTACTAAGATAAGATACCAAGCCTGTAGCAAAAAACTTGGTAAATTATTTTTCCAACAGAAATAAATAAAAATTTTAACTCTCATAACTTCGAAATTTTTATAAATAGAATTTTTTTAACATTTTTTCCATGTTCCTGGTATCTTACCTTACATGGTAAGTAAAGTCGTGTTATTTTTACAGTTTTTAAACTTGCGAGCATATTTTTCAAATAAAAATCAGGTTTTTGCAAGATTTCTTTAATATAAACAAAAATCAAAAATTATTTTGCATAATTTCGTTGAGCAAAAAATTAACCAAATAAAGCTAGAAATTAACTTTTTCAAATAATTAAGCACGCTTTTTGAAATAAAATCAATTTTTTTGAAAGAAATTGATAAAAAAATACCAAAGTAAATTATTTTAGCTAGTAAAGACTCAATTATTTTGCGAGATTTTGTTAAAACACGACTAAAAATCACAAAAACAAATTAAATATTTTGTAGTTTATTCGCTTTTTGAGTAAAAATTTGTCAAAATAATCAAAAAAATTAATAAATTCAGGTTACTTTTACGTTTCTCAAACTTTTTAACATTGTTATTAACTAAAATCTCATGTTTTTTTCAATATTTCTCCAAAAAATCACCAAATCAAGTCGAAAATTATATTTTCGAACGTTTTRGAGCTGAAATCTCCTGTTTTGCTAAAACTATCTGAAAAATTACCACAATAGATCCAAATTAATATTATTTCAGCGCGATTTAGTTCGTTTTTGAACCGAAGACTCATTTATTTTGCAAAATCTGTTCAAAAAACGCTTAAAAGTCACAAAAAAATCAAAATTAATGAGAATTGGTCTCACTCGATTTGAGTGAGAATTAGTCAAAAATAAGCAAAGAAAACACAAATTTTGCTCAAAAACAATGTTATTTTTACTTTTTTCAAATTTTCACAGTTTTACTAACACAAAAAAATTAAAATCAATGTCAGAACAATGTAGAAAACACAGATAATTAAAGGCTTTCTAAATTTTCAAATTTTCTGATTTTAAGTAATTGTTTATACAGGGTGTCAAAAACAGATTGTAAAATATTTAAAGAGGTAAACAAAAAACTCTTGYAACCCATGTTTATTAAGACTTTTTTGTTTGTTTTAGTCACTTCTCTACGTTTCTGTCACTTAAATTTCCTTCCTATGACACGACCTGGTTTTCTCATTAACGTTTTTGAAAAATTCCTGTGATAAACAAAATAAATGAAACCAGGAAAGTGCTTATCTTTATACTTTTCCAAAAGTAAGAATAATTCTAGGAGGCGATGATATCGACAAATTCTTATCACTTGATCAGTCATCAAAAATTACAAAAAACTCAATACAAACATTGTAACTCATCTTGTGTGATTTTCCTGCTTTTATCTAGCAAGCTATGTACATAATGAAAAATTTCTTGTTGAAGTCAGCAAAATTGACAATTTTTTTAGCTGTCAAATTTTCAATTAAAAATTGAACTGAGAAAATGGCTGATGGTAGAAAAAAAATGTATGCGTGTCTTATGCCAATTTTGCCTGTCATGGCTTACTTAGATTACATTGTTTAAAGGCTGATACAAGGAAAATAATAAGTGTATGACTTCAGAAAAATGTTTGTTTGAGTCAGCTGTTTGTATCATTACACGTCTTATTTATTTTTAGACTTATTTTGCATACTTGAATATTGTAAAATGATAGCTTGGAAACTAACAAAAAACGTGAGGMTAAAGTTCCTGAAATAAAACTGACTGAAAATTAAATACAATTCAGGAGGAAAATAAAGTTGTTCAAATGATTGATGTACAGTGTCATTGGTGTGATTGTTCCCCGAGTTACATACTTAATCATCAGACAAAAATGTTATCAGTTATCACCACTTACAATTGATATCAAAATTGTACGAAATATAGATATGTTTTACAAATAAACTTTCTAGAAAAAAATCGGAGTGAAACTCCATGTAGCGCTTTCCCTTTTATTTCTGACTTTAGGTCAAAACTAGTCAAAGAACCCGAAAATCTCCCATGAACCATAACCCACCCATTAACCATCCGTCTGGATGTTAAATAATGCAATACCTTGCCCATAAAACCCGTTGAATTGAATCAATCTCGCTCGTTAGCGCCATTAATGGGCAAAAACCGGCGACTTGATTTTATTAAACGGTAACTGTACCATCGTCCCGTTGGCAACCATCTACCATCTGGGGCCGAGTCCCATGTCCCATGCCTCAAGGTCATAGCCCGAGATGAATCGAAAAGCCGGCCGGCTACTCCATCTCAAGTTAGGTTAGGCCAAACGCCATCAACCAATCAGAACGCAGCGTCCGCTTTATGCCCATATATGGTAACATTGGTGTTGTGAATGAGTCTGGTGGGGCGGACGAGTCCACTCGTGCGACACATAGGGGAGGCCTCATCCGACCCAGCAACCAAATCAACAAAATCCCATCAATTGTCTTTATTTTGACACAACTCAACCCAAAACCACCCCGGAGTCGACATTCCCAACCACTTCCAAGCCACTAAACTCGCCCGGAGCGGAATTATTGTTTGGATCACCACCCGGACTCACCCGGACAAGTCCAGTTTTTCGAAGCCGGCTTCCTCGAAATCTCAACCGGCTCTTTCATTCGTTGATTGTTCGTTGGTGTCGTGTGACGTGTCTTCAAACGGTGAGTTTTGACAATTTTTGCAATTTTGGGGCCACAACCACCGGCCGGGGCTATTTTTAGCCCCCCGGCAGGTGGTTGCACGCGCTTGGCCCTCCGCCAAATACACGCGTAAGTCAAGTGGCTGTTTTATAACAATAACCCCCAAATAGCGTTTTTCGACAAATTCAATGATAAAGAATTGTGTGTCATAGAGGGGCGCGGGGGCACCGATGCACAATTCTTCCTTATATGGTAATGTTTGGTAGCGATTGGCTCGTAATCGTGAGCGTGGGGAGGGGCTCACGTACGTCATATATAACCAGAGAAATTTTCAATTTTCACAGTACGAACGACGCTTTTGTGATATTTGTGTGCAGACGTCGAGTGGACGGACTTAGATTTTTAATTTTTATAATTAACACTAAAGTAAGTTGAAACCAAAGTGGGGTGTGGTCGTGTGAATCTAGTGATCGGAAGTTAGCAACAATTAACGTATTTTTACAAAAAAAAAACCGTCGAGTGAATTCAAATTCAAACCCGGATTAACGGTTATTCACCAAGCCGGTTTGTTAATGAATTAAATACACGAAATAGTAGTTTTTGTCCGAGTTTTGCCTTAAATAAGTAAATTTGAACAGTCGGAAGTTAGCTGCGAGTTAATTTTTTTCAAGTTGGTATTGATTTTACCAACAACTGTCATTTTAAAATTGTGAAATGTCGTGTTTGTTTCAGTAAATACTAATCAAGATGTGTGACGAAGAAGTAGCCGCATTGGTGGTCGATAACGGCTCCGGTATGTGCAAGGCCGGCTTCGCCGGGGACGACGCCCCCCGTGCTGTGTTCCCGTCGATTGTGGGTCGCCCCCGCCACCAGGGTGTGATGGTGGGTATGGGCCAGAAGGATTCGTACGTCGGTGATGAGGCCCAAAGCAAGCGAGGTATTTTGACATTGAAATACCCGATTGAGCACGGTATTGTGACAAACTGGGACGATATGGAGAAAATCTGGCATCACACTTTCTACAATGAGTTGCGTGTCGCCCCCGAGGAGCATCCCGTCCTCTTGACTGAAGCCCCCTTGAACCCTAAAGCGAATAGAGAGAAGATGACCCAAATAATGTTCGAGACGTTCAACACGCCGGCGATGTATGTCGCTATTCAAGCAGTATTGTCTTTGTATGCTTCCGGTCGTACGACTGGTATTGTGTTGGATTCGGGTGATGGTGTCTCGCACACTGTCCCGATTTATGAAGGGTATGCTTTGCCACATGCAATCCTTCGTTTGGATTTGGCTGGGAGGGATTTGACCGATTACCTCATGAAAATCCTGACTGAACGTGGCTATTCCTTTACTACAACCGCCGAGAGGGAAATCGTGCGTGATATCAAAGAGAAACTCTGCTATGTAGCGTTAGATTTTGAACAAGAAATGGCGACTGCTGCGAGTTCTAGCTCCTTGGAGAAGAGTTACGAGTTGCCTGATGGGCAAGTCATCACCATCGGTAATGAGAGGTTCCGTTGTCCTGAAGCCCTCTTCCAGCCGTCGTTCTTGGGAATGGAAGCGTGTGGTATCCACGAGACTACTTACAACTCGATCATGAAGTGCGATGTTGATATCCGTAAAGACCTCTACGCTAATACTGTCCTCTCTGGAGGTACTACAATGTATCCGGGGATTGCTGATCGTATGCAGAAGGAGATCACCGCGTTAGCCCCCTCGACGATGAAAATCAAAATAATTGCCCCACCTGAAAGGAAATACTCTGTGTGGATCGGTGGTTCCATCCTAGCTTCACTCTCTACATTCCAACAGATGTGGATTTCCAAACAGGAATATGACGAATCTGGACCATCCATCGTCCACAGGAAATGCTTCTAAATTTCTTTTTCCAACTTGCAACATTCCACTATTTAGTCATCAGTTCAATTTCGTTTGTATATTAACTGCGATAGGAGGCCTTTGTGCCTAAAGAACTGCCATTTTTTGTATGTTGACAAGCAATGTACGGTTTCATATTTGCACTAGGCCAAAGTATTACTATCTTATTATAATTTATTCCGTACGCAGAAGACTCTATTATTATGTATTTACTTTAGGCTAACACTTATGGGATAATAAAATAGTTAAAATTTGTAAAATACACTTGACTTTTTATTTATAATTTATTCAGTTTTCTACAATAAACACAAAATGCCAAGCGATTTTTATCAGTTATCACCCATGTCCCCAAGTGTAGTGTTCGATTGTGGCGCTGGTGAGACCAGAGTGGGGCTCTCCCACGATGCCACACCCATCGTTTTCCCAACACTTGTCGGTGAAATTCGACCCATCAATGGGTACGTGCAGTGTTGCCAGCTCAAAGTAGTTAAATTCACCAGATCTGAGCTGAAAAGTTACCAGATTATCGGAACCAAGCGTTTTTTTCGTGAACTAACCACTTTAAGACAAAAATAATTAGTGTAGCGTAAAGTACAATTAAAATGTGACCATTTATCAAGAGTAACATTTTTAGTTTTCGAATTTTGGATTTTTTTTTTAATGGCAACCCACTATGATATTTTTTTAAATTAAAGATTATGATCTAAAAATGAACTCTAATTAAATAAAAATGTTTTTAGCCAGTACTAAAAACATTTTTTTGCAAAACTGGAAAACTATAAGAAATTTCGAAAAATGTTATTCTTGATAAAGGGTCACACTTTACGCTACACTTATTATTTTTTTCGTAAAGTAGTTAGTTTACAAAAAAAAGCTTGTTTTCCTCCTTGTTATGATTAAATTTTTTTTAATCCTGTCGAAAATTACGTTTTTTACATAAAATTTACAAATCTGTCCAAAAATGTGCTTAAACGCCCGAAAAATTTAAAAAATAGTCTAATTCTATACTTTTTTGGCTAGTTTTTAATTAAATTTTGCTAAATTCCGGGTGACATAATAATGTTTCAATTGACGGATAAATAATAGTCGCCCGTCCCAAATGATCATATGACAATTGCCTATAAAAGTTTGACGTTTGAATTTGACAGTCAAGGTTGCCAAATTTATTAAATTTGACACCAAATCATTTACAGTCACCCGATATTTACGTTTTTACTTGAAAAACATGCTAAAACACTTAAAAAGGCAAAAATAATGACTTAATTTGATGTTTTTTTGATTTGTTTTAGCAAAATCTTGCAATTAACACCATTTTCGACCATATTTTGTATTTTCGTTCTATTTTTTTGACAAAATTTCACTCAAAAAGAGCTAAATCGAATAAAACAAACGAAATAACATCAATTTAGATTTATTTTTGTTGTGTTTAAGCAAAATAAATGAGTCTCTGGTTTAAAAACGATCTAAATCGAGCGAGACACGCTAAAATAATATCAATTCCAATTTAATTTGGTAATTTTTCAGTCAGTTTTAGCAAAAATTTGAACGCATTTTAGAAACACTTTAAAAATTTAAAAATAACACTAGTTTTGGCCTAATTTGATAAATTTTCGGTTTGTTTTTAATGAAATTTTGCAAAATAGTTATGTTTCTGGCTAAAAACATACTAAAACGCTCAGAAATGGACAAAATAATGTACTTTTTGACCCATTTTAGCGATTTTTTTACCTTGTCGAGTGAAATATCATTTAGAAAAAAAACTATCTCTCGATTTTTCAACTTGTTTTTGAGAAAAGTTAGAATTTGAGTTTCTGGATGGCTAAAAAGTTGTGCAAAATGCTCAAAAAATGCAAAAAAAAAATGTGGCATGATTTTCGACTGAATTTACTATATATATATACTATATCAATAATTAAAAAATCAAATTAAAAAAGGTAATTTTACTCACATTTGGGCGAATACTCTATTAAAAAAAATATTTTAAATTAGAAATAGAAAGTTACAGTGCAATTGAAAAAACATTAGAGTAGGCGACGATTAATCTTCTACAGTTGGCAACAACTTTTGCTAGAAATTTTTTACACAAACTGGAAGTGAAAATGACCATTTACCATTTTCGTCTTGTACAGCAGCAAAAAAAAAATTCTGCTCTAAAGTGAATATTATTATTATTTCACTCAAACTTGTCAAAGTTTCGGTTGACATTTGATGTCAAAAATCAGGATTGCCATCTGAAGGATTATCACCGCCTACTCTAAATTTTTTTTTTTGATCGTACTGTATAAAAATCACTAGGTACATCCACAATTACGATCAACTGAAAAAAATCTGGGAATGGGGTTTTGAGCGGTTGAAAGTGCCCCCAGAGGATCACCCCGTTGTGCTCACCAAACCTTATTTCCCCTGCACCAAAGCAACCAATGAAAAAATGGCCCAAATCATGTTTGAGGACTTCAAAATCCCAGCGTTGCATTTAAATTACCCCTCGGTTTTGTCACTGTACAGTTACGGATCCCTGACGGGATTAATCCTCCAATCGGGGTACTGCGAATCCCAGGTTTACCCCATCTACGAGGGACACATCTTGGAAAGGGCAATCTCACGGGGGCTTCCCGTGGCGGGCCACTACCTAACTGAGTTCCTCCAAGACACGCTCGCAAAAGGGGGCTGTCGGTGCGACTACGACACCGCAAATGCAATCAAAGAGAAGGCTTGTTTCTTATCACTGGATTTGAACACCGAAAAAGTGACCAAAGAGGAGTTTGGGAATAAAATAATACTCGGAAAAGAGAAGTTTTTAATCCCGGAGGAGTTGTACCACTCCTCGATCGAGTATAACAGTCTTCATGAGTTTATTTTTCACACTTTGGGGCGCTGTGACCCCCAATTGCGCCCCATTTTGGCCAAAAACATTGTGTTGGCGGGGGGCAACACCTTGCTGCGGGGGTTTAGCGAACGACTGGGACAAGAACTACGCAAGGACATGTCCGAATACAAGTTTATGTCGGGCTGCGCCCCCCGAGTTGTCTCACCACCAAATCGCCAAAACTCGGCGTGGATGGGGGGCTCAATCCTCGCAGGGCTACCAACGTTTCCCGACATGTGCATGACACGGGATGAGTACGAGGAATATGGCCCCTCTTTAGTCCACACAAAATTCTTTTAATTAATTAAATTTTACAAAATCAAAAAAAAATCTGTTGGCAACATTGAATTATTGGTAATCCTAATTTGTTATATCACTTGTGAAAAGAGAAAAAAATCTTGGGAATATTCCTTTGGTTGGCAACCCTGGAGTATGTCCACAATTACGACCAGTGTTACCATACACTGAAATTCCCTTTTTTCGGGGATTTTTATAAAAAAAAGTGTCATGGGGCACGCAAATGTCTTTTAATAAAAATTTCACAAAATTTGTACAATCGCATTGAAAGTCTTCGCTGAGGGGGAGTCTGGCAGTTCCGTGACGGCCGCTTTGCCTAGCAGGGCCCCAACTCGGGGGTCGATGGGTAGGACCCCCAAAAAGGGGACTTGGGCCAGCTTAGCCAAAGCCTCACCGCCCCCTTTACTGAAAATATTCGTGCATTCTGCACACGAGGGGCACACAAACCCGCTCATATTTTCGATGATTCCTATTATCGGTATTTGGGTTTTTTTACAAAATGTGATTTCTTTTCGCACGTCTTCGATTGAGACTTGTTGGGGGGTTGTCACAATTATAGCCCCGTCGCATTTCACCGTTTTTAGGGCCTCCATTACGCTGATGTGTTCGTCGGAGGTGCCTGGGGGCGTGTCGATTAAAAGATAGTCCAAAGGGCCCCAACACACATCTGTCAAAAACTGCTTCACCATTGCGGTCTTTTTCGGCCCCCGCCACACCACAGCACTCTCGCGGTTACTCAAAAGGAAGCCAATCGACATTACTGCTAGTTTTTGCTCACTGTCGGTGTAAACGGGGACCCAACTACGAAATTTTCAAGATTGAGTTATCTAACCTCAAAAAAAAAACAAACTTCGGTTTTTACCCTTCATCGGTCTGGTGGACGTCTTTACCCTCGAGTTGGAGCAAATAGGGGACACTGGGGCCACACAGGTCAATGTCAAGCAAGCCGACCTAAAGGAAATCGCTTTATTTTGATTTTATGTGACGTTTGGGCCTAACCTTGTAATTTTTTTCCTTCAATGTTAGGGCCAATTGCGTGCTGATTGTGGATTTCCCAACACCACCTTTGCCCGAAAGGACTAAAATCACGTGTTTTACGCCCTCCAACATTGTAAAAAGTGCAATAATTCACATTAATTTTTGCGGTTGTCATTTCTTAGGGGAATCTCGAATTTCAAAGTGGGGTTGGTGGCACTGGGAAATTGTGTTATGGCAGCGCTTTTAAATTGTTAAACAAAACAACAAATTTAATTAATTTTAAAAGTGCGATAATTAATTGTGCATAATGTAGTGTTTTTTTTATGTTGCTAGGTTTGGTGAAATTTCACCAGATCTGGTGATTTTTATAATTAATGATTTGGTGAAAACTTTTTTAATTGATATATTAAATTCAGTCAAAAATGATGACACTATTTTTTTGTTTTTTTTTTTGTGCATTTTGTACGTTTTTTAGCCATGTAAAAACTCAAAGTTTTCTTAAAAAAATAGGACGAAAAATACAAAATATGGTCGAAAATGGTGTTAATTGCAAGATTTTGCTAAAACAAAACAAATTAAATCATTATTTTTCCCTTTATTATGCAAAAAAGTGAATCTTCGCCGAAAATGGGAGTAAATCTGGTGAATTTAATTGTTTTGAGCTGGCAACACTATAAATGCGTTGCTATAGTAACACAATACAAACAAGATTTTCATTTTCGCCAGCAATGGTATTGTTTTTATTTCGTGTAAAACAATGAATTTGGTGTTTTTTTTCAGATTTTGAGTCGAGTAAAGCCGGCAATAAGTGACCCTGGTACTTCAGTCCGTGACAGTTCTACCAACAATGTCCCCAAATTCGAGGATTATCTCAAAAACCGGGACTACACCGGCGCAATGACTCTACTAGAGGTACAAAACGTTACAAAAAGCCCCACAATTAACAAAATCATTTCCAGTTTATGCAAATGCAAGAACCAGACTCGAATATAGACCTTTGGATGGGCTACTGTGCATTTCATCAAGGCAACTACAAAAAATCGTTATCAATTTATGAAAATCTCCTGAAATCCAACCCAAATCATGAAAATCTCGCAGTCAACTTGGCTTGTTGCTACTTTTATTTGGGGATGTACGAGGAGTCGAAGGAAATTTTACAAAAAGCAGCCACAAGTGGGCTGAAAACACGGTTAAACTTCCACTTGTCGCACAAATTGAGGGATGAGGGGGCTCTGATGGAGCACCATGAACAATTGCAGGACGTCCTTGAGGACCAGTTGAGTCTCGCAGCGATTCACTACTTGAGGGCTCACTACCAGGAGGCTATCGACATTTACAAACGATTATTGTTACAAAATCGCAATAACTTGGCTTTGAATGTTTATGTGGCGCTTTGTTACTACAAACTTGATTATTACGACGTGTCGCAAGAAGTTTTAACTTTGTATCTCAACCAGTACCCAGATTCGGTCATTGCAACCAATTTAAAGGTTTTCATTATTATTATTATTTTAAATTTGAGCCCTAAATAAATATTTATTGTAGGCTTGCAACCACTTTCGCCTCTACAAAGGCTCAGTGGCCGAAAACGAGCTGAGATCAATCGTGGAGCAAAGTGCAAATGTCGGTTTTGGGTACGATTTAGTCAAACACAATTTGGTCGTTTTTAGAGATGGGGAAGGGGCCATGCAGGTGTTTCCCTCTCTGGTTGACGTAATCCCCGAAGCGAGACTAAATCTGGTCATTTATTATTTACGAAATGACGATGTTAAGGAAGCTTATGATTTGTTGCAAGATTTGCAACCAGCCGTGCCTCAGGAGTATATCCTCAAAGGGGTCGTCAATGCGGCGTTGGGACAAGAATTAAACTCGGTATTTTTTCTACAAATGAGAGAAACTAAATCAGTGTGTTTTTTCAGCCCGATCATATTAAAACAGCAGAGGAGTGTTTCCAACTGGTCGGGAGTTCGGCCAGTGAGTGCGATACCATCGATGGGCGGCAGTGTATGGCCGCGTTCTTCTTCCTGGCTGGGCAGTTTGAGGAAGTCCTCGTTTATTTGTCCTCAATCAAGAGTTTTCTTCACGCAGGTATATGAGTCCCCTAACGGGTAGGCAACCAAATATACACCACTAAGAAAATACATTATAATTACACTTTTAATAATCAGAAGAATCTAAGTTGAACTGTTTAAGAATGTTTTTGTTTATTTGGCTTTAATTAAGAGTTTCCTGACAAAATTTTCGTATTAATTTATTTAAACGGTTATGCAACCACATATACACTATTAATTAAATAACGCGTAATTCTACTTTTGTTACAATTTTGGTGATAAAATTTTACCGGGCAGTTTGAGAAAATGTTTGTTTCATCATTTTTTTGATTTTAGACTAAGTTTTTTCATTATTTATTCAAGCGGTTATGCAACCAAATATACACCGTGGATTGAAAACTTTATTTTTCCTAGTAAAATACGTAATTGCATTTTTTGGGCAATTTTTTTAAGCATTATTTTTTAAAGTTCTTTATTATTATCGAAGTGTACAGAATTATTTGGCGGAGATGGCTTTTTTAAATCACTCTGTAACTACAAACCTACTTTTCATTTTTTATGAAAAATATTTTTTTTCTCAACTAAAATGCCAAATTGCACCTTTTTAACGTTTATTAACAAAGTTTACAGGGTGATTCAGCTGAGATGGCCTTGTTCAATGTGTAATTGCAAAATTACATTAACAATAAAAACTTTTTTTTTTATTAAAAACATGAAATTTTCAAGTCAAATGCGACATTTTTTGCAGCATTTTTTTTGCTAGTTATAAAAAATATACAGGGTGATTCGGTGGGGATGATATTGTTTGACCTACAAGATTACACTAAAAATGAATAAATGTGTGTTTTTACTGCCATAAAAGTACTTGTGAACACGCTTATTTTTACATGAATCACCCTGTAGCTTTTGGTGAGAAAACTGGTCCCAGCAGTTTGAGAAAGTTTCTGTTTAGAAATAAAAACCTATTTTTTTTTAATAAAAACATTTTTTTTAACTAAATTGCACTTTTTTTTTAATTATTATCAAAGTGTACAGGGTGATTTGACGAAAATGGCTTTGTTTAATTCACCATACATTAAAAATGAAAAAGAAAAAACTGTTTTTTTTTTTAAATATTATTATTTTACAGGGTGATTCGCCTAAGATGGCTTCATTTAAATCACGCTGTAATTGCAAAATTACACTAAATGAATAAAAACTAATTTTTTTATTAAAGTCATGAATTTTTCAATGGAATTTTTGTGTCTTATAAAAATATACAATGTGATTCGGCGGAGGTGACATTGTTTACCTTCAAGATTACACTAAAAATGAATAAATGTGTGTTTTTACTGCCATAAAAGTACTTGTGAACACGCTTATTTTTACATGAATCACCCTGTAGCTTTTGGTGAGAAAACTGGTCCCAGCAGTTTGAGAAAGTTTCTATTTAGAAATAAAAACCTATTTTTTTTTAATAAAAACATTTTTTTTTAACTAAATTGCACTTTTTTTAATTATTATCAAAGTGTACAGGGTGATTTGACGAAAATGGCTTTGTTTAATTCACCATACATTAAAAATGAAAAAGAAAAAACTGTTTTTTTTTTTTAAATATTATTATTTTACAGGGTGATTCGCCTTAGATGGATGGCTTCATTTAAATCACGCTGTAATTGCAAAATTACACTAAATGAATAAAAACTAATTTTTTTATTAAAGTCATGAATTTTTCAATGGAATTTTTGTGTCTTATAAAAATATACAGGCTGATTCGGCGGGGGTGATATTGTTTACCTTCAAGATTACACTAAAAATGAATAAATCTACGTTTTTGTACGTTTTTACTTGTCATAAATGTACCGGGTGACTATTAATGTTTTTAACAAAAAAATCTATTGGCAACACTGAATTAGCAGTGAATGACAATTGTCCACAAAAGTTTGACGATTGAATTAGAAAGTCAAAGATGCCAAAATAAAATTTTTAATTTGATACCAACTTGAAGTAAAAAATCACAGTCACCCGATAGTTAAAAAACCACGAATATTTTTACATAAATCATCCTGTAGCTCTTGGAAACATTATTCAGTTAAGAAAATTGTATCGAACAGTTTGAGAAAGTTTTTGTTTATTTATTTTCGATTAAAAATTACCCAGAAGATTATGCAACTAAATATACACCATCTATTAGATAATTTTAAATTTTACTTTTGTAATTAGAACACTTTAGGTAACAAAAAATTGGGTGAACAATTCGGCAAAGTTATTTGTTTATCTTGAATTAAGAGTTATTTGTTAAAATTTTCGTCAGTAATTTACATCGGTAGTTATGCAACCAAACATACACCGTTAATTAAATTCTAATTTTGTAATTGGAGCAATTTATTTAAAAAAAATCGTTATTTGTACCATTATTTTTAATATTATTATTTCTTGTTTATGCATAATTACTCCTTGAAAAACCTAAAAAAACAGCGCTTTACGCAATATTTTAACAAGGCTTGATTCAGGATATTAAATAATCTCTTAATTGGCATTAAATGCATCAAGACAATTAAGACTGATTACGATTCATTGTTTTTCTTATCCGTAGTAGCAAAAACGTGTAGAAAGTAATTGCACTTTACTTAGAAATGTTTGTTTTTATTTAATTGCTTTTGTGAAAAAAAAATACGCAATTAACATTTTTTTCCAGACGACACGTTCAATTTCAACTTTGCTCAAGCCAAAACAGCTTGCAACCAATTCAAAGAAGCCGAAGAGACATTTCTCCTGATCCAAGAGCCGAAAATCAAGTCGAGTCCGATTTACATTTCCAACTTGTCTCGGTGCTACATCATGAATGGGCGCCCCGAACCGGCATGGGAGCTCTACCTGAAAATGGAAAGCAGTCCCGAGAGCTTCAATTTGTTGCTCTTGATCGCGAATGACTGCTACAAAATGGGGCAATTCTGGTACGCCGCCAAAGCCTTCGACATGCTGGATCGTCTGGACCCCAATCCGGAGTTCTGGGAGGGAAAAAGGGGGGCCATCGCCGGCGTTTTTCAAGCCGTGTTGGCCCAGAAACTCCCCGTGGACGTGCTGGGGGACGTGTTGCAACTCCTGAGGAGCAGCACCTCCACCCAAGCCGACCAAATCGCCAAAGTTGTGCGACAATGGGTGAAGGAAAAGTCGCAATTTCGAAGCTAGGAAACCCTTGTGATTTTTTAATTATTGATGAAGTAAATTTAGTCAAAAATGATGACACCATTTTTTTGAGTATTTATTTGAGCATTTTGCACGGTTTTTTAGCTCAAATGCTAAATTTTCTCAAAAACAAGTTGAAAAAACTGTTTTTCTAAATGAAAGAACACTATTTTGTCCATTTCTGAGCGATTAACTACATATTTTGTTTAATTTCGTTAAAAACAAACCGAAAGTTTATCAAATTAGGCCAAAACTAGTGTTATTTTTGCATTTTTAGAGTGTTAATTTAAAGTTAATAGATTGAAATTGATATTATTTTAGCTTGTTTTCGATTTAGTTCTTTTTTGAACCAAAGACTTGCAAGATCTTGTCAAAACGCGCCTAAAAATCACAAAAACGAATCTAAATTGATGATAGTTTGTCTGTTTCACTCGATGCAACTGATTTTTGAGCAAAAAAAAATAAAAATTGGTCAAAAATAGTGTTATTTATAACTTTCTCAAGCATGTTTTTATGCTAAAGCCTCATTTTTTTTACAATATTATACTAAAACAAATGAAAAAATTACCAAATTAACTCCAAAATTATATTATTTTTCTCTTTCTTGGGCGTTTTAACACGTTTTTCGGTCAGAAATTATTTCGCAAAAATTCTTTAAGAACAAACAGAAAATTTACTAAAAATGAAATGAAAACAATTTTTCTGAAATTTTTTTCTATAATTGGCTTTAAAACTAACATTTTTTTTGCAAGAACTTGTCAAAACACGCCTAAAATTCAGAAAAACAAATCAAAATTCATGATATTTTCGTTGTTTCACTTAATTTAACTAGTTTTTCAGTAAAAAGTAATCAAAAATAAGCAGAAAAATCGGAAAATTTGATCGAAAAGTACTTTTCTTAAACTTGTAAACACGTTTTCCAACTAAAATCTTAGTTTTTTTTTGTAAGATTTTTCTAAAACAAACCAAAAAACTACCGCATTAATTTAAAAAAATCGAATAATTTTTGCCCTTTTTGAATGTTTTAGCACATTTTTCAGTGAATTTTGTTCAAATTAGGTTAAAAATAGTATTATTTTTATCTTTTTCGATTCGAGTGACTAAAAGCGTTTTTAAGATAGAAACAAATTTTAACAAGAAATTTTTATAAAATTGTCTGAAAAATTACCAAATTAGATCGTTATGGACATTATTTTAGCTTGTTTCGCTAGATTTACTTCGTTTTTGAACCAGAGACTCATTAATTTTGCAGGATATTGTCAAAACATGCTTAAACACAACAAAAATAAATCTAAATTGATGTTATTTCGTTTGTTTCATTCGATTTAGCTCTTTTTGAGTGAAATTTTGTCAAAAAAATAGAACGAAAAGCACAAAATATGGTCGAAAATGGTGTTAATTGCAAGATTTTGCTAAAACAAACAAAAAAAACATCAAATTAAGTCATTATTTTTGTCTTTATGAAGTGTTTTAGCATGTTTTTCAAGTAAAAACGTAAATATCGGCTGACTGTAAATGATTTGGTGTCAAATTTAAAATTTAAGTTGACAACCTTGACTGTCAAATTCAAACGTCAAACTTTTATAGTCAATTGTCATTCGTTTGCGACATTTCTGACAAATTTAGAAGGATTACCACTAATTCAGTGTTGCCAATAGATTTTTTGTCACCCGGTATTTCGCAGAATTTAATTAAAAACTAGCCAAAAAATTATTGAATTAAAACTAAATAAAATAGCATTACCTATTTTTGCATTTTTCTAACATTTTGAGCAGATTTGGAAGATTTCTGTAAAAATCGTGAATCTAAAAATTTAAATCTTGTAATCCGGTGAAAATAGTGTAAACCTGGTAACTTTTCAGCTCAAATCTGGTAAATTTAATTGTTTTGAGCTGGCAACATGATCTCGGTAGGCGTTGGGAGTAACATTCTTAAAAAATGATTTCTGTCTGGAAGAATAACATAACCTATTTGCCCAAAAAAAAATGTGGAACAGATTAAGAACAAAAACCACTTAAAGACAACCAGTGGGTGCAATTGCACAAAAATGAAAATGAAATGTTGCCACCTTAAATTTGAATTTCCATGACCTACTGAGATGTTAGTCATTTTGAAACGCTTTATAGGTGAAGGCTTTGAAAGTCGTTAAGTAATAATAAATAATTTAATAATTTCCTAGAGAAATAAATACATTCGTCAATTAAACTAAAACAAACATACAATCGCTCCCTCTCATGCGTGTTTACAACAATATATAAATACATTCAGATTAAAACATTATCATCCTGCTTGTTAATCTCAAAGTTTAAAAAAAAAAATTCAACAATGATTGTTTTGTTCAGACTAGTTTTGCTATTCTAAAAAAGGATGATTGTCCAGAGGCCAGGCTCTAGTAAGTTTTAGTACAACTAAGTATACTTAAAAATATAATACAAGTTTATGGTTGGTACGACTGTTTCAAGACACTAAATTTCTTATAACTATGGGGGAGGGGGAATTACACCTAGACGTTGAATTAGAGATTAAGGCCCTTCGTGTGTTCGATTGTGCAAATTTCAAATTGCGCGGGTCGCGGTTGCGTAGCAACAACCAATGACAACTTGAAACTTCGGCCCACGATCCCAATCTAGTGTTTTTTTTTTTGTAATTTTTCGTTTTATAAAAAAATATACCGTAATAAAATCTTAACAATCATTATTTTTGCTACATTAGCCAATATGGCTTACGTACGTTTCGATTAACAAACAGAAATCGGTGAGTGGGGGGGACGTAGGAGGCTGGTACCCCCACTACTATTAAGCTTGGTGGGGGGCGGTACCAGAACCCTACTTGCCCCTAATTTGTTACCCTATCTAAGCGCGGTTTCGAATACTTTCTTGGTGTTCCCTGAAGGTCGGTATGTAAACGGTACCGAGGAGTCTTTGGTGCCACTAGAGCGAGTACGGGTACTCCGCTAAAAACACCGCGAGCGAGGTGGGCAGCCCCAATTTGAAGATCCGGATTTCGGACGTGTCCCGGAGTTGTTTGTTGATGGCCAATCTGGCGAGGTGTTTCAAGCTCGGGGGCGTCGCCTCCCGCCTTAGCGGCCGGTCGAGGTAAATCGACGAGAGACATTTCCCCTGGGGGTCCACCCACACCTGGGTGTCCTTCCGGCGCCGCACGTAGTACTGCACCAGCTCGATGACGCCGGGAAACAGGGGCATGGAGGCCTGCAGATGGGGCTGCGCGTCGAGCCGGAAATAGCCGTTGATGTAGAAGAGTCTGACCGATTTGGGGCCGCGATCCGTTTGCACACTCAACGAGAAGAGAAAGCGCGGATCGGAGGAGTTGCGCACGAGGAAGGTGCCCACTTTGGTGTCTTTGAGGAGTTTATCGCTCTTGTCGAAGGTGAGGCCCTCGTAGTACCAGCCGGATTGGCGCAGAGCCTTGACGATGTCCGAGAGGCGCGCGAGCTCGGTCTCGGGCTTGGCCGCCTCCGGGGGCGGCGCGAGAGGGCCCCCTACGGTGGGCATCTCGAAGGTGAGGGGCACGCTGGGGGACACTTGCGGGGAGAGCGGCGGAACGATACCGCCACCGGAAAGGACGTGGATAGACCTCCGCGACGAGCAGCATGGCGGCACCGGGGCGCAGCACGTGAATTGGTGCTTGCAATTGGGGCATACGGTGCTACAGCCTAACATTGCAGGCATATGCCATGCCCGGGACAATCAGTCTTCTGCAACAAACAAAACATCATTAAACTTCAATTGGCAACACTGATTATTACTAATTTGATAAATGTCAAAAAACAAATTCATAATTCAAGTAGGCTCAAGTTTGCAACACTGACCTGACCTGACCTGACCAAATTCAAAAATGACAAATTTGAATAACTAAGCACTGTGGTTAAAAATATGTCCCAAATTCACTTTTTTTGTTTCAGCTGAAAAAAATACTTGATTTAAAATTTCAGGCAACAATGAAACTGAAATAACCAAAAAATAAAATTTTAAATGTTGAACCCCGCCATATTCAAAAATGATAAATTTGAATAACTAAACACTGTAGTTAAAAATATGTCCCAAATTCACATTTTTGCATTTCAGCTGAAAAAAATTCTTTATCTATAATTTCAGGTAGCATCACAGATTATTTAATGTTTGCGTTGCGAAAGTTAAATTGGCAACACTGAAACTGAAATAACTAAAAAATAATCATTTGATTGAATACAACAAGCAAAAACAACAATTCTCGATTTATAATCATAGTAGGCTGTAATTTTAAAATTGAGTTTGCAACACTGAAAAAACAATGACAGAAAATACGAAATTGAACATGTCTCTACATCTTTCAGTGTTGCCAACTTAACTTTAACTATTAATTGACGTTTCTGAAATTTAACTACAGTCACTTGAAATTCTTCAAATCTTGACACCCGCCAAATTTAAAAAATGAGAAATTTGTATAACTAAATGTCCCAAATTCATTTTTTTTTCATTTCAGCTGAAAAAAATTCTTGATTTAAAATTTCAGAGATTATGTACTTTTGCATTGCGAAATTTTTCGAAAAAAAGTTAAATTGGCCACACTGAAGCTGAAATAATCAAAAAATGATCATTTTATTGAACACAGTAAGCAACAAAAATAAACGCTGAAACAATCCCGATTAATAATCATAGTAGGCTGTGATTTTAAAATTTAAAACAAAGACGAAACTGCACATGTCTCCACATTTGAAAAATATACTTGATTTGAAATTTCAGGTAGCATTTACGGTTTGCATTGCAAAACTTTCCGAAAAAAAGTTAAATTGGCAACACTGAAACTGAAATTATTGAACAGAGCAAGCAAAAAAATAAACGCAGAAACAGTCCTCAATTAATAATCATAGTAGGCTGTGATTCTAAAATTAAGTTTGTAATACTGGAAAAACAAAGACAGAAAACACAAAATTGGACGACATGTCTCTACTTTTGTCACTGTTGCCAATTTAACTCAACTATTGACGATTCTGACATTTAATTACGGTCTTGACACCCACCAAATTTAAAAATGATAAATTTGTATAAATGAGCACTAATAAAAAAATGTCTCAAATTCGGTAAAATTTCAGGTAACATCACGGGGATTATGTACTGTTTGTGTTGCGAAACTTAAAATAAAAACAGGTATATGACACGTTAAGTTGGCAACACTGAAACAATTGATTGAACAAATGTTATGCCAAATAATCAAAGAGTAGTAGGCTGTGATTCTAAAATTAACTTTTCTGAAAATAAAGACAAAATACGAAATTTGACAAAACTGCATAGCTGTCTCTATTTTTCAATGTTGCCAACTTAACTCGAAACCTTGTCAATTTGTATAACCAAGCACTCTGGTTACGACACTAATAAAAAATGTCCCCAAATCACTTTTTTCACTTCAGCTCACTTGATTTTGCTAAGAAAAAGTTTAGATAAAATTTGAGGCAACATTTTTGTGTAACAATCAAGGAGATTATTTACTATTTACGTTGCGAAACTTTCGAAAAAACAGGTATCTTTAATTCCACGAAATAATCAAGAGGATATGCTTGATAATTAGAGTTGTGCGCGACATACAATTCTCGGAAAATCGCAGACGAAGCTTTATAAAAATACTAATTTATTGTAATTGATACAAAACTTGAGGTTACGAAATTTCTCAAAGGGCGACGTTTCCACTCTAAGATTTATCATCAAGATCTAGCAGCCTGAGGCTAAATGACATAACATTTACGAATTTATGTCAGTCCATTCAATTATGGGAGTGTGTAGGCAGGAATGTATGAAATTTGATAATTTGAGTCAACATACTATACACCGTGACTCAAAAAAGTCGGACAATCTCTTATATGGTGATAGAAAACGTTAACAGAAGCTCAGATTTGTTTTTATTATTTTTCTAGGACGCGTGGTTTTGAGAATATGAACATGTAAAGATAGAACGCTGCATTTTGAACCACCCTGGGTACGTTTGTTACTATAGAAACCAACAAATTTTGATGCGCTGTTGCCAACTTTCTAGATAAAAAAGGAAGGAACTCAAAATGATCCTTGAACTTTTATGCATAAAATATCTAGAATTGTTGGAAAGGTCAGGTCCATAACTTGACCCAAAGGACAAAAAAATACTAGTACGCCACTGTCTTTGTAACAAAAGGCCAGCCTTGATCCAAAAAATACAGTCATTAAAATAGAAAGAAACAGCTGTCTCGATTTATAACCAATTATTCATAAACAAGGAAAAAGTTTTTCGTGGCAAAATCTAATTATACCGTTTTTTAAGACAACCAGTTGGCCATGATCAAATAACTGCGCCAGTCATCTGTCACTCTCAGCCGCTTTGATTTGGACATATGGAATAACTGTTACCCCAACATTTGGTTACCACGGAAACAAGTCAATTAATTTAATCCCCAGCCTACGTGATTGGAGACGAAAGTGAGGAAAAATTCGGTAAACCCCAAAAATATCACGTTTTATCACTGATTCACCTGTTGAATACCCCTGGCCATTTCCTGTGCTTGGGTTTCGGTCCGAGAGGGGCCGATTCCTGGTACCAGTGGGCCCCCGAGCTGCAGGTGTGCACTCGGAACCAATAGGTGCGACAGAGAGACCCGCCAGATGCCTGGCTCGGTTCCTGGAAGTCTGATCAGACTCCATTCGCGGAATAATGCAACAAAGCTGTTGCCCAGAAACTCTGTTGCTTTGTGTGGAAGGTCATCATCGGCAAAAGGCGAATTTCGCAGAAGGTCGCGAAAGGGATTTGAAAAAAGACTCAAAAACAGGCCGATTCCGAGAATGATCAACGATTGATAATTGTATTACTTTGAAGTCGCAAGGTTGGAACAATTAACGCCGGTAATCGGAAAAAGAAAGCGGATATACAGGGTGTTTTCTCAACATCGCCAAAAATCACAACCGCGAATTCTACATCGTAAAACAACACTAATTTGTCTAATAAACCACAGCCCTACAAAGCTTCGTTACGGAGATACAGGGCGATAAAGTTTTACTGGATATACAGGTGCGCCAAAACTCGCGCCCCAGAGAAAAATGTCATATAGGGTAAGATACTAGTTACATGGAAAAAATTTATCTCTAAAAATTTCGAGTTTAAATTTTGCATTTTGACTATTTATTTCTGTTGGAAAAATAATTTTCCAAGTTTTTTTTGCTACAGGCTATTAGAAGAGGAAACAAGGATGCTATAACCTCTGTTTAATGTTATTTGTCGCTTTTATTGGCAAAATTTTTATACTTTTACTAAATAATTATAAAAAAACATACAAGATCATCAGTATCATTAAATGGACATAAAAAATGTCAAATGTCAAAAAAATTAATGTCAAAATTTTTTGACAAAGATAAACGTGAAAGTAACACAATTTTTGACTGAATTTTTTTGCTTATTTTGATAAATTTTTACTCAAATATTAGTTAAAGCGAATAAACAACATTTATTTTTTTGTGAGTTTTAGTTGTGTTTTAACAAAATCTTGCAAAATAATTGAGTCTTTACTAGCTAAAATAATTTAATTTGGTAATTTTTTGTCAATTTAAAACAAAAAAATTGATTTTATTTCAAAAAGCGTGCTTAATTATTTGAAAAAGTTAAAAAAATAACACAATTTTTAGCTTAATTTGGTCCATTTTCGGCTTGTGATTGCAAAATCATTGTTTCTAGCTAAAAAGTATGTTAAAATTCTTGAAAAAGATGCTTGAAAGTTTGAAAAAGTAAAAATAATATTATTTTTTAACAAATTTTGTGTTTTCTTTGCTTATTTTTGACTAATTTTTACAATTACAAATTTTCATCAATTTTGATTTTTTTGCGACTTTTAAGCATTTTTTGAAAAGATTTTGCAAAATAAATGAGTCGTTGGTTTAAAAACGAACTGAATTTAGATCTATTTTTATTAATTTAGATCTATTTTGATAATTTTTCAGATAATTTTAGCAAAAAAGGAGATTTCAGCTCAAAAACGTTCGAAAAATACAAAAATAATGTAATTTTCGACTTGATTTCGTGATTTTTTGGAGAAATATTGCAAAAAACATGAGATTTTAGTTGATAACCATGTTAAAAAATTTGAGAAACCTGAAACTAAGACAATTTTTAATTGATTTTTTTAATTTTTTGCTTATTTGACAAATTATTTTTTAAAGCGTACTTAATTGTTTGAAAAAGTTCAAAATAACACAATTTTTAGCTTAATTTGGTAAATTTTTGTCTTGTTTTTAACGAAATTATGCAAAATTATTTTTGAATTTTGCTTTATTTTAGAGAAATCTTGTAAAAAAACCTGATATTTTATTTGAAAAGTATGCTTGGAAGTTTGAAAACGGTGAAAATAACACTATTTTCGACCAAATTTTGTGTTTTTTTGCTTATTTATGACTAAATATTTGAAATTTTTCTCTGCGGTGTAAGTTCTGACATAAATAAAAGCCAACAAAGATTTATTCTTGACGAATTTGTTTTTTATCATAATAGTAAGTACCAATTTTAGTAAAAATTATAAAAAAAAATATTATGTGGTAATGTTGTAATTGTTTTTTGAAATTTTGACGTAATTAACGTTTGACATTGTAACACTACCACCACCATTTTAGAGAAACATGCGGGTGCTTTAATAGTCATTTCAGCACCCAAATTGTCTGAACACTGAATAGCAAACTTCTTTTTGTTCAACCCAATCAGTAAATCAAGATTCGCAAAAAACCTTCCCAAATTGCCAAATTACTTTAATCATTTCTAAAAATACGTAATTTTCCCTCGATAATTGTTCTAAGCTGCCATTCAAAAAACATAATTATCGGCTATAAATCTTTAGCAATGCAAAAAATCTATCCCACTTTTAATTATACTCCACTTGAGAGAGCGGGTCTATCTAACACACCTGCATGAATGAATTAAAAAGGAGGAGGAAAAATAAGTAAAGAAACAGCTGCTTCTACAGGCTGTTCTAACAATGACATTTATCTAAAATTTTGATTATAGTCATTCTACTCATTGAAAATATTTTCAAGATGGCGACACTTCCTGTTACACCGGAAGTGGACATTAACTTCGTTACTTTAAATAACTTTAAATAAAAGTTATGTTTTTTATTGCGTTTTTGGATTACTCAAGTGATTTTGAGAGAGTTTTTATTAGCCTTCCCTATACTTAAATTTAACCGTTTTCGAGATATTTAGACCTGAAAAATACACACTTATACAGGGTGTTCCAACTAAACCCCACATTAAAAATATTGGGAGTTCTAACAATAATATTTATCTAAAATTTTGTTTATATCCAAAATCGGTTAGGTTCTACTCAATGAAAATATTTTCAAGATGGCGGCACTTCCTGATACACCGGAAGTGGATATCAACTTCGTTATTTTAAATAGAAAGCTATGTTTTTATTGCGTTTTTGGATTACTCAGGTGATTTTGAGAGAGTTTTTATTAGCCTTCCCTATACCTAAGTTTAACCGTTTTCGAGATATTTAGAC